TGCCCTATTGGCCCCAGCTGCACCCTACCCTGCCCTGCTCGCCTAGCTGTACCTACCCTTCCGTACTGGCTCTAGCTGTACCTACCCTGCCCTACTGGCCCTAGCTGTACCCTATCCTGCCCTACTGGCCCCAGCTGCACCCAACCCTGCCCTGCTAGCCTAGCTGTACCTGCCCTACTAGCCCCAGCTGTACCCAACTCTACCCTGCTGACCCTAGCTGTACCCTACCCTGCCCTACTGGCCCTAGCTGTACCATACTCTACCCTGCCCTACTGGCCCTAGCTGTACCATGCCCTACCCTGCTGGCCCCCAGCTTTACTCTACCCTGCCCTACTGGCCCTAGCTGTACCATACTCTACCCTGCTGGCCCTAGCTGCACCCTACCCTACCCTGCTGACCCCAGCTGTACCCTACCCTGCTCTGCTAACCCCAGCTGTACCTTACCCTGCTCTGCTAGCCCTTGCTGTACCCTACCCTGTCCTACTGACCCCAGCTGCACCCTACCCTGCCCAACTGGCTGTACCCTACTCTCGGCCTAGCTTTATCCTATGCCTCCCTACATTCTGCCCTGCCTTACTCTACGTCTATATTTAACACACCTCTAAATTTTTTTTATCTTTTCCAGAAGGACACTGCTTGATGCGCCAGCGGATGACTCTGACTATGTGCCCATGCCAGAAGACAATGCCGGCGGCTTTGCCTGGGGCGCTGCTGATGCTCCCCCTCCACCCCCACCTCCCCAGTGATTGTGATATCAAAGTTTCTTGTTTTTTTCTATTGAGCACAACATGTATGTACCTACCCTAAGATTTAATATTGTAAAATAAAAGTTTAAAAAACATTTATATTGGTTTGTCTTACCTCAAACATATTTTTATCTGGAGTTAATTTTAAGGATGAAGGAAACTATATGATTACCACACCAAACATGGGGAAAACCCTAGTTCTATAAACAGTGCAAAAATATAAATGTATAAGTTATCATATTATACCTTTCTGAACAGTGATACTGAAGGAGTCCTGTATAACATAACCTGAAGCATGTTTATTGGGTTAAATAATGCTCTTGAAAGAAATTGAATAAATTTATTGATGACCAGTGACTAGCACTAGCACCGACTATCCATCTCGCGACTACTCAGTTTTGTTGTTTTAAAATTGCAAATCCGTAACAATTTACAATTCTCACACAAAACACCTAAAAGTAAAATAATCACATCCTATCACATATCAGCTATTACTGAACCTAGGTGTTCCATCTTGATGACTACAGCAAGTTAGTTCTTAACTAAATTAAGAATCGCTTTTTTAAAGCAAAAGGAACAATATCAGTGCGAGACAGAAACAAATTACAATGAAAAAAAATAACCGCATCGGACTTGGTACAACATTTCATCTTAAACCTATTTGATTTTTCGAGGAATGGTGGAAATGAAATGATCTTACAATAAATAATTTATAGAATACCCCCGCCGCAGCAAACCTGCAGACTAAGCGAATTTCCATTTGGCTGATTGGATTTACACTGAAATGTCTACTTAAAATATAACATTTATTCCCGATTTAAATAGAATTAGTTAAACAAGAACTTAGGTTTGCTGCATCAGGGAGGGTAAAACTGTTCTTTTTTGTAAAATGTTAATAGTTAAGAAATAAAAACATTTCCCAAATTTGATCAAAATATGTTCATAAACAAGCAAACTACAACAGTTTACTTATTCTCCATAAGAATAACATGGGAATTTTAAATTTACAATATTTTGGAATTTTCTCCGTAACCATTAGGCGCATAATAACGCTTCAACATACTAAATTATTTGGTTTTTTTTAAGCTCTACAAAATGGTTTGGAAAGAAATTGCTAAATATTATGTTTTTTGGGTCAAAAATGGGAAAAACCTATTTTTACCCCATAAAACCCCCCGTAAACCCCCGTTCCCATGGTCCGATCATGCTGGATCGCGGACTCGTTTCAATAACTCGTATACACGTTTGTACCAAATTTCATCAGAATCGGATCATTTTTGCTTGAGTTACCGTGCTAATGGACACATATATATATATATATATATATATATATATCTATATACAGGGTGGCTGAAAAGTTACTTGCACCCCCACTTAACGTTTCAACCATTTGAGATATTTGAAATCGGTTTGCAGCAACCTTCTTAGATATGAGGGGCTATTATTATTATTATTATTATTATTTCTTTGTCATGAGAGCCGAAGCCCCCTGACTACGTACCCGGTACCTATCGTGAGACATACCCGGGCCCCATGATGTAGGCCGAAGCTTACGCATCAACCTTTAGCACATCATGGGCGGATGACTTAAGGTCATCAGGCTCGCCGGCTGCCGAAGCAGACCCTTCGGAAAGAGGGTTGCCCCTCAATCCTAACCAGGGATTCCGGCTGCTTGTTTAAGCGTCACTCCACCTGGGTTCCACCAGGTACAAGCCCTAGAGGACCATAATGGAGCGCCCCGACGCATTTAGTGCAAGCAACACTCGGGACCTATCTAATCCCTGACAGGCAGAACCCGCCATCATAGCCAGAAGGAAGGGGACCGTCAGTACGCTGACGGGGGAACCCCAACCTCCCATTTACACCACTACCCGATCGAGGCCTTACCCAGTTGCTGGGAAACCAGAGATAACCAGAGCGATAGATCCCCAGATACCCCTGGCGGGCTCGGACCCAGCACCCGATCTACTTCGTTTGCCCGTCAGACCCAACATCACTGCCAGGCCATCAGGGTTTCCCAAAAGGAGGCAGGTATAGAAGTGGGACCCACCCGGATGAACCTATCCACCAGAGGTGGCGACACCCTTGACTCAATTGAGGTTCCGGGAAGAACCCCCCACACTCAAGATAACCATACCGTCCGTGCTCAGAGACAGGGATTGGTTTGCATAAGTGCCTACAAACCGTTACCCTCACACTGCGGAAAGTTACGTTTCCCTTGAGTGTCCTCGTGAGCTGCGGGTACTTGCCCGTTTTCACCTCCAGGAAAGGCTACTTCCAAAGTCGAGGATTTGCCACACTGAATGCTGGTCGCAAACAACAAGCAGGCCGAAACCCAAAGAACCACAGACACAGGTAGGTTAGAGAATATGATGCACTTCCATCTCTCCTAGAGCTAAACACCCCTCCATCCTGGATAAAGGAATGTCACTGGGACCCAATGCCCAGTCGTCCATGTCTGTGGCCTACTTGAAAATGCCGATACCAACACCGAGCAGTTACCTCCCCTTTGGGGGCTAGGTTTTTCACCTCCCAGGACGAGGCTACTTCCAAAGTCGAGGATATGCCTCACAAAATGTCAGTCGAACACAACAGGTAGGACGAGCCTGAAGAACTCAAGTCACAACCACAGTTACAGGTAGGTGAGGAGAGGCGGAATTAACGGCGTCACTGAGAGCTAAACACCCCCCCACCCTGAATGGAGGGAGTGTCACTGGAGGCTCCCCCTAAGGGGCTGGCGCTTACCAGTCGTCCATAACTGTGGCCTACCTGAAATGCCGGGTCAGACACCGGGCAATTACCTCCCCTCTGGGAGAGCTAGGGTCCGCGTGGTCGCCAGGCCACGTACCCACGCAAGCATGGGCCCCCTGCGGGCGATGAGGGGCTACAATAATTATGGTTAATTTTAAAAATTTTGTCCTTAGGGGTAGCGGGGGTAGGGGGTAGCTCAAAATTTTCAAATAGCAATTATAGCCGAGTTTGGTATCATTTTACAGGTCTTGACGAAACATAACAAATAACATAAAGAAAAAATAAATCGGGCCATTAATAACAAAATGGCAGCTAAAAATGATTGAGACAATGGATATTTAAAGTAATTTTGAACTGCCATTTTGTTATTAATGGTCCGATTTCTATTTTCTTTATGTTAATTGTTATGTTTTGTCAAGACCTGTAAAATGATACCAAACTCGACTATACTTGCTATTTGAAAATTTTGAGCTACCCCCTACCCCCGCTACCCCTAATGGCAAAATTTTCAAAACTGACCATAATTATTGTAGCCCTTCATATCCAAACAAGTTGCCGCAAACCGATTTCAAATATCTCAAATAGTAACAAAGTTAAAGAGGGTGCAAGTTATTTTTTTGCCACCCTCATGGTTATTTGGATTTGAAACGTTTTAGGGCGCCATTTTGTTATTAGTGAGCCGATTTTGGTTTTCTTTATGTCAATGTTTATGTTTCGTCAAGACCTGTAAAATGATACCAAACTCGACTATACTTGTCATTTGAAAATTTTGAGCTACCCCCTACCCCCGCTACCCCTAAGGACAAAATTTTCAAAATTGACGATAATTATTGTAGCCCCTCATATCTAAGAAGGTTGCCGCAAACCGATTTCAAATATCTCAAATGGTTGAAAAGTTAAGTGGGGGTGCAAGTTACTTTTCAGCCACCCTGTATATAAAAGGCAAAGCCCTCACTGACTGACTCACTCACTCATCATTAATTCTCCCACTTCCCATTTACCTAGGAGGCTGAAATTCGGTACACCGATTCTTTGGGCATTAAATAGGAAAACTAAGTAGTTTTTATTCTGATCGGGCTTTTGGGCTCCGCCCCAGTGGCTCTGGAGTTTCCCGTGTTAACCTTATGATTTTTCATATTTAAAAGGAATTAATTAATCTTAACAGCTGTTTCAATTTAACAAGTTGGTTCTGTTCTATGATGTCAATAGCATTAAAGTTACAAGGTAAATTCACTCTGCAGGATTGCTGTAGCAGGGGTATTTTTTGGTCTGGAACCTTAGAACAGTCCAGTGCAACAGAAAAAAGGGGCATTTGAGATTTATTAAATGTACAGTAAATAATTACGTGAATAAACACACTACTGGCAATCCAGTGGTTATATGATATGTAGACATTATTTCAGTTCAATGGCAATCATATTGCTGTGATTTTACTATATGACAAGGCGCTCATTAGCTGGTACAGCAAGCCTAGTAACTAAGTTGTTTAAGTAGCAAACATACCTATAGCGTATATTCCATTTTGGCCATTGCAGACTTGGCAAATGGTGATAGAAACTTGTCGTCGAACGCTAAGTTGCGAGCCATCCACGCGATGGAGTTGGCCACCTTCTGTATCTTGACTGAGTCTCGCTCTCCCTGTAGCCTACACAGCTCACTGACCAGAACCTGGGCAATTGAATGTCTTGTTATGTTCAAACATCTAAGGCTGACACATACTGATTCTTAATGATAACAACAAATAATACATTTTATTAGTCAACTGGATACATATTGGTCATCTGGATACATAAAGTCATAGACAAATAGAACGCCTATGACTTTCAGCAGTGCTGATTAGCATTAAGTTCCAGCACACACCGCTTGGAGTGCCGTAACTACACAACACTCCTAGCAGCCTTTGACAGACTATATTTATTCTATTTGTCCATGATAAAGTATAATTGATAGTCAACATTGTTTACTGCTGATTTTTGTTTATTTATTAAGTAAGCACCATGACAAGTTCCAATGGGCGGAAAAACAACATTGTTTGGAGGAGATTATAAACAGGCAGTGTCTGTTACTCCAAGCTAAAAAGGTCCAAATAATTATAGTCTAGCCATAATTGAAGTCTAGCCGTGGCATGATAGTAAAGGGAGCATCCATATATAACAGTAAAACCTAGAGGTAGTTTGTGCTTATCCTTAATTAAAATGTACACTACAACAAACAGCGTCATTCGCATCTCTGTAGCTGACGTGTGAGTACCTTTTGCTGTGTGTTTAACGTTTTAAATTATTGAATCTCTTGTTGCATGCAAGATAAGGTCAGTGATATGATTTTTGACTGCAACAAACAGAATATCGACTGCAGACAATAGTCACAAGATGACTGTATAGCACAAATACCTAGAGAAAAGTGCAGAAATGGGTTAGGGAGTTTAAAACCCAGATACAGGTTCCATGAAGATGTCAATTTCGGAAGGAATTGTGTTTATGGTGTGTAACCAGACTACTAACAGAAGAGCACAAAGGAAAGTTTCTTTCACATCCATTTTACACATTTCTGTACTTTACCTTCATGTCAAACAACTTGTCAGCCTGTCTTCTTAAATATTCATAGTAATTTTTATAGATTTCATTATGCGTAAACCTTTTAAATTCTAATAATTTTAAAAATAAAATAATAAAAGTTATGTAAATTAAAAAGGTATTTTTTTTAGTTTTGTTGAAAATGGATGTAAAATTGTATGTAAATTTGTGTAAGTTAGTAAGTGTATTTTGTTTCAACTTAATTTTCATAAATGTGTTTTCCAGGTGTGCCAACCAAACAGACGGTCGTAGACCATTGTTTATTAAGTGTTTGATCATGTTTATGAGAGGAATGTTTATGTTAAAATAAAGCACTTTATTCATTCATTCATACTTTACCCTCACTCTTTGCATTGGGGCCAACCCTTTCAGTCATCTGGAAATGAATGACAGCATGGGATGTGTTTCTTGGGGTCAAAAAACGTATATCAATGGCCTTATCTCGCATGCTGTGGGAGATTTGATAATTTTACGATTTTTCTAAACACACAGCAAAGCATACGTCAGCTACAGAGCTGCATGGCGCCATTCTGTCTACCAATGATGCCAGTAAGGGGCAAACCGCCTCGTCGTGCCGTACATTTGAACTACGGAGCCAACACAATAACAGCCTTACTTAAAAAACGCCCCTTGTATACCAGCACTAACTAAAATACAAGTAAATTACCTTCAACATTACAAAAAAAATTGCCTGTTGAATCTTCAAGTAGGAGAGGGAAACTTAAACCTGAATAATATTATTTCTAATAAAATACAACTAGATAAAAGAAATTATCAATCTGGGCATAAAAATAAAGATTGGACAACACTACAAAATTTAGGCCTTTCCTCAAATGACAGTTATCAACAATTGTACAGTAGGTTTATAGTTCCATTTTTGAAAAGGCTAAAATCACACGTAGAGAACATAAAAAAAAGCTAAGAAAAGCCTGGATGAACTGGGATATAGTTAACAAGATTAAGAGACGAGATAAATTATTTAAGTGGATTAAGAAGCATCCAGAGAATACAACCATAATAAATAAATATATAAATCTAAGGAATCTTATAAATAAAGATATAATTAGAGCAAAGGTAGGGGGGGGGGGGGAAGCTGGTAGGGCAATAATTATGGTGAGATTTTTGAGGAAAATAAAAAAGATATAAAAAAGACATGGGAAGAGTTTAATATAGTTTTGGGAAGGAAGAAAAGGCAGAACATTGATGAGATGGTACAAAAATATATGGTAAATAAAGGAAGTACAGTAGAACCTCGCTAATCCGTCACCTATGGGACCGGGAGCATGGTCGGAACAGCAAAAAGGTCGGATTATCAGAGGAACGCGTTTATTGACATAAAAACGTAGTATAACTGTATTTTGAACAGACCAGTGATAAATTATAACCACGGTTAATCCAACATGACATGAAACAGTTATTTCCAACTCATAAACTATAAATGGATGTTAATGTAATAATTTGCATGTTACATCATAAAAATACAATTAGTGGGCTATTGCGCAATCATGATAATTATGTTATGTCATTACCCTTGGTTCAGTAATAAAAACTGTAACTTTTAAAATGACAGCTTTTTCAAACTTTTACTCTAACAAACAAATTGCCAAACATTGTACAGCAAAATAAAGAACAGAACATTAGAAAGTCTAGTAGGCTACTGCTACGCTGTTTCAGGACAGAAAATGTCGACAAAAACATTAGATAACGCATAAAAAAGTATGAAATAACAGTAGCCTACTTATAGCATAACAACAGTCGTAAAATACACAAATAAAAATAACAATGACATAAAAACATCGCTTATTCTTTCTCTTTGTTCTTCTATTCTTTGTTAAGTTTCTCTTCATCCATCCATTCAACAAGTTGCCATGGTTACTAATCACCCAATCACAGGCTACTAAAGCTGTCATGATTACCAAATACCCAATCACAAAATGTTGTGACATAGCAAGCGCACAGCAGACGGAAGTGTCGTGTGTAGGCCTGAGCTGAGCACTGAGCAGACGATTGTCAGTGCAAACGGATAGCTTGAACTTGAAGCTTTGATCGGCATTCCTTTGTTTTGCTTCCATTTAATTTTTGTCAAATGAACTGTGATTTTCAAAAAACAATAATGTGGGAGCCTACTTAATATTAATAATGGGCAGACATGGTTAAATATATAACAAATTTCAACACATTAGACTAAAATAAACACAATTTATAAAGTTTTCTGGATATTTATCTTGGACAATGAGGTTATGTTAGCGGAAGCCTATTGTGTTGGCGGCACGGTCGGACCAAGCGAGGAGTCGGACCATCAGAGGTCGGATTAGTGAGGTTCTACTGTACTTTAAAACAGATATGTGATAATTTTTCAAACACTTTTACAACAGAAATAAATAGTATTGTTAATAAATGCCATGTTAAATTTATTGATGTTGAACAAACTGAGAAAATAATACAAAACACCTCTCTATATATCCCAAAAGCTAAAAAGCAAGACATATAAATGATTTTAATGAAATTAAAGAAAAAAGTCCAGGTATTGATGGAATTAGAGTTGAGGCCTTAAAAAATGTAGTGTCGATGACTCAGAAATTATAGTCAATATCATAAATAATTCACTCTCATAGGATAGAATTCCCACCAGACTTAAAACAGCTATTGTAAGACCAATTTATAAATCAGGATGCCACATATTTATATCAAAACTATGTTAATCGGGAATGTGAGCTATCATCATGCCGAATTTCAGCCCGATCCGACCAGTATTTTTCGCGTTTACTTTTCCCATACATACAGCAACCACCTCTTTTTTATAATAGTATAGATTACCGCCCTATATCAATATTATGTACAATAGATAAAATAATGGAACGATACATATCCCTAAACCTGAACAGATATCTGACGGAGAATAACATTACAGATAAGCCAATATGGGTTTCAGAAAAACAAAAGCACAGAGTTATTACTACAAGCATTTGCTAATAACGTAAATAAAGAGATAGATAAAGGAAATCAAATATTGGTTACATTTGTAGATTTGACTAGATTTTACAATTAATTATGCCTTAGTCATGTTGCTTAAATAAAAAATACCCCTGCTGCAAGCAAACCTGCAGATTGAGCGAATTTCCTTGCCCGATTGCATTTTCACTTAGGCCGCTAAGTTCAATTTATTTTAATAATATAAGATTTAGCGAGTACCTAGGTTTGCTGCTACAGGGAGGGTAATTAAGTTCATATTGCTGGTTTTTTACTATATGACAGTCACACATTCGCTGGTACAGCAAGCCTATAGTTCGGCCACTTAGAAAGCGACCTGCTTGCTTATGCTAACCAATGCTAGAGGAGGTCGCTTTCTGAGCGGCCGAACCATAGTAACAAAGTTGTTTAAGTAGCAAACATACCTATGGCGTATATTCCATTGGCCAATGCGGACTTGGCGATTGGTGATAGCAACTTATCGTCGAACGCTAAGTTGCGTGCCATCCACGCGATGGAGTTGGCCACCTTCTGTATCTTGACTGGGTCTCGCTCTCCCTGTAGCCTACACAGCTCACTGACCAAAACCTGGGCAAATTGAATGCCTTGTTATCTATCTATACTATTATATAAAAATCTAATACAGTAGAACCTCTTTAATCCGAACTAATTGGGACCAGGGGTAGTTCGGACTATTGAATAGTTCGGATTACAGAACATATTGTTGTTTTTACATAACAATAGCTAAAACATGGCTAAAATTGATCAACATTATTTTGGGAATAGTGAAAAAAGGTTTTATAAAGTAAAATACAGTGTTTATTTAATACAGTAGTTAACATGGTGAATAAACACTACTGTAAATTAAATACAGTATACAATAAAGAACTGCTGTACTGTGTATAGAGTACAGCAATGAGGGGTTCGGATTAGTGGACGTTCGGATTACGGGGGTTCGGATTAAAGAGGTTCTACTGTAGTGTTTTATCTGCCTGTGAGTGTATTACTCAAACTACTGAACCAACTGGGCTTAAATTTTACAAAAATATAGCTACTACACCAGGATCCGTTTAGGGCAAGTCACGCTTGATACTGACCGGGGGCTTTTGTTCTGAGATGAAGATTTTTCAAGTAAATATTGATTGGTCTCCATGACTGCAATGAGAACACTCACAATGTTTATATTTGAAGGGCCAGGGGGAAAAACGATGAGAGTCAGTTTTACATGATAGGGCTACTGAGTAAATTGCATTTCAAAGTTTGGAACTCCTTGCGTAAAACAATGTTAATACTAGTAAAACAAACTTTTAATATAATTTTAGTGAATATTCTGCTTAACCAACTAGGCAATAATGTTTAGTTTAGTGTTTTCCTAAAGGTAAAAAAAAATTCTGACTTGAAAATGCCTCACAGCTGGCTTGAGCAAATAATACAGGATAGAAAAAAAGTCCAGGGGCAGTTAAATATTTCAAAAAGTAGTAAAGATGGGCTTCAAAACTTGGTTACTGGGCAAAAATCATTTAAACACATTATTCAGTGATGCGCTACTTCCTTAGAGGGGCTTGATAGGGGTCAAAAGAAAATTACGTATGTAGACCCAGGTCAATATGCACATCAAATTAAAGCTCCTAATTAGTAGAATACAATGTCACAAATTTGAGCTCAAAAAACTACTGGCAGCTGTTCAAAGATTCAAAATGGTAGGTCCAAAATATCTTTGAACAGCTGCCATTTTTGACTCGGTTGTCCGTTTGAGTTCAAACATTTTCCTGATGCTTTGGTTTTTTGTGAAAATATCATGGCATTTGTTTTTTTATAAAAAAAATTGTTTAATTTGAAACTGCATAATATTTATATTAAAATGATCACAACAGTAGATCCTAATTACAATGGTAGCCATATAATCATTTACAACATTCTCCAGTTTGAATTTAATTTCAAACTAAGAAAATCTTATCATTTGTAAAATAAAATTCTATTTATTTAAAAATAATTTTTAGGGTGTACCTAGAATATAACAGACAAAGCATTACTCTTAAGTGCATTTATTTGTGTAAAAGACAAAAAATTTGGTGTATATTAAAAAATAAGGGGGAAATGAGTTTTTTTTCTAAGAGCTTGCATATTTGGTCAAAATCCCCAAAAACTTTTCAGCATAGCGCTGGCAGTGACTCTGAAGCACTCAAGGGTTAAACACACTTAACTCTATAATTTCATTTGAAAAGATAAACTTTATGCATTGGATTTAGAACTTTAGATTTTAAACTGTAGTCCTAATTACTTTCAAACCCCTGTTTATATTTTTGAAGTCAATAGACACATAAGAATCTAACATAACAACATACCATAGTGCAGCTTACATAACTTGCTACTTACTTGCCATAACCACTTGTAGCCAAGCTCGTATTTGGCCTGGCCAAAACGTTGTCGCCAATCCTCTGCGACATTCGAATCTTCCTCTAAAGTCTCATTATTTCCATATCTTTCCGGACTTGATCCCACCACCTGGTAGGGCAGCAATAAAATAAATTGTACTTGACCTTTTTTGATAGCTACAAATAACACTTCTGTTACCCTAATCCTTAAATTTTACTTGGGCTTCTTTACCTGTTAGCTTTTATATAAATTACAAAGAAAACTATGAGCAAAATTCTTTAAAGCATTTATTACTTTCATAAACAAAACATAAACTCCCCTTTACTCACACATTGAAACTGCTTTTAAGTCAATAAAAAAAAGCTGTTGACTGCATCGACCAGCTCTTGTTCATTCAATAAATTAAATAATGTAAACTGGAAAAGCACATAAGGTGTAAACCCGTGAAGTGTGGAAATCTACACACTCTTGGAGATTCATTTTGATGTGCCATTGTATAGCCTATTATTTTAGATAATGGCCTTAAGCGATAACCACGAATTTGACATAATCACATCAACGTTCAATAATGTTGAAAAAAAAAACATAAAATGTCCACACGAAGATTATTAAAACACCAATTGAGGACCTGATAAAATATCAGTTTAGCAGCAGGGTATATTGTGAGTGTTCTTATGTTTAGGTATGCATTTTATCAAAATATCTATATTAATAGGCAAGCATGTTTCTTTAAAACCTCTTTCCTCAGCTCTGTGTGCATCGAAGAAAATATCTACGCATACTGTTCCAAATAGATTTTCCTAAGCTTTATTTTAGGAAATAGCTACCTAAACTCACTCCCCTATAAGGAAATTCTCTAATCATCAAGATGGAGTATCTACTCACCCAATATGGGCAGCTTGTTCTCTAACAGCTTGTAGTAGCTGTGCGTGAGTAGACTAACAGGTTCTGTGGTACTTAAACGCCCCATAGACTCAAGGCGATCACACGTCCCACATCAGGAAACTAGGGAACTCTAGCCTATGGGGTCGATGCCGTATCAACTCCAACCAACAACACCGCCCGCCACACCTGTAACATGACACAAGTTGGTTAGTATCATCTTTCACTATTGATAGAACTAGACATTTCATCCTTAGGTCAAAATTGTAGCCTAGTTAGTTCTTAAATCAAAATGGACGTAATTGAATGGTAATATTGCAAGGATTCAAGGATTGAGAAAATAGAAGTTTAACTTGATTAAATTATATTTTGAACCCAAACTAATCAGCTGGTGACGATTAAATTGCTGATACCTGCCAAATTCTGCAAGAAATTCTTTCTTTGGCTTAACCTAAGGTGAACTAAACGATTTCCTAGGAAACAATTGCCATTCACACGACCAAGGATTAGGCTACATTGGCAAAAACGTATTGTATTTAACCTCTAGAACAGTAATTCCCTAAAAAAGAAGACAGGGACGTGAGAGTCCGTTGTTCCATGGGAACTAATGGATTCAATAAACTTTTTAGGTACCAGTACCGGTAGGCCTATGCCATTTGGTAAATAATTACATAAACGTAACCACGGGAGCCTATAAAGGCTGCACTTTACTTTAGGTCCTACACTCATTCGAATGAAAATATCAATCGATATATCAATTAATCGATTGTTTCATTCGATATATCGTTTGGTTAGTTAGGTAAAGTTAACCTAACCTAACTAACCATTCGATATATCGTTTGGTTAGTTAGGTAAGGTTAACCTAACCTAACTAACCAAACGATATGAATGAAACAATCCAACAATCGATATTTTCATTCAAATTAATGTAGGACCTAAAGTAAAGTGCAGCCCCTATAAACTTAACTTATTGATTTGGCTATCACCAAAAACTAGATTTATAGCTGAAAATAGTGGTACGATTATTTCTCTGGGCTCACATTAGAACTTTTGTTTACATTTGTAAATCTACAGACTAGGCCTATTATGTCAACAGTCGACACTATTTTATCACTAGAACTTGATATAAATTTGTTGATTGATTCTAAGCTATTTCAAGTACTGACTATTTTTTTAACACCATTTTCTCACTGGAACTTGATATAATTATACATTTTTGTGTAAAAGGAATATTAGATTCACCTTTATTGTTAATAGGTTAACATTGAAGAGAACTTAGAAAACTGCCGTCTGCTGCAGACCCAAATGTCAAAATATGACAAATCATGACAGCCATGCAATATAAGGTTAGTATGGCTTTTGTTTTGATCATGTAGCTTTGAAGTATTTTTATACCTATTGCCAAACTAAGATAAATCAATTATTATAAAATGAAACTGTTCTGTTGTTAACCTTTATAAACTTGCTGTAACACGTCAAAGTTCTTTTAGATGACAGAAAGGGCATGTGGGGATGGCAGGCCGGACTAAATACTCATTCATAACTGTATGACGTCCTTTAGTACTACGACGGCTGCGACAACTCCGAATGGTGCGAGTATCTAGCAGCATGCTAGATTTGTCATTTTTTCTCATTTTTGACCCTCAAAACACAAAGTTTCCCAATTTCTCTTTGAGAGCTGCAGCTCTCAAGACAAAGGGCAATTAGGTGGGTGGAGGATGCCTCTAAATGGACTACACGGTGGTGAAGGTGTAAAAAATCAACGTAATCTGGGCACTTAAAAGTGAGGATCGATCGCGGGATTTGAACCTATAAGCAGTCGGGGTAAAGCTCCAGTACTATAACCACTAGACCAGGAATGTCCCTTTTAATTTCCCTATTGGTAGGTAATTAACTATTACCGTAGGTCTCATGGTAAGACATAGGCCCGGGAATTTGCTTTTTAATTCATTTTGATGTCTACAGAGGCAAAAAACACCACCCGTTCAAAATGTTATATATGTGTTTGTGTCAGTGAACACGATAACTCGAGTAATTTTGGCTTGAAATATAGCGGGTGGGATAAAATTGGATGAGTATGCGAACCAGCATAATCGGACTATGGGAACAGGGTTTATGGGGGTATAAATAGTTTTTCTCATTTTTGACCCTCAAAACACAAAGTTTCCCAATTTCTCTCTAGACTGTTTTGAAGAGCTTAAAAAAGCAAATAATGGAGTTTTATTAAAGTTTTTTTGTACGCTTATCAGTTACGGAGAAAAAAATTTAAAAATTGTAGCCTAAAATTTTCATATTACATTTCCTTTTATGCTTGTTGGTTACGAAGAAAAATGTTAAAAATTGTAAGTTTAAAATTCTCCTGTTATCTTATGGAGAATATTGTAAAATGTTGCAGTTTGCTTGTTTATGTATATATTTTAATCAACCTTGGTAACTTACATTTATTTATTTTATAAAGCTATTAATATCCTAATAAAAACACACTTTATTACCCTCCCTGTAGCAGAAAACCTAGATACACGTTAAACCTAATGATTTAAATGGAATTAATTGAAAATCAAATCAGGCAAATGGAAATTCGTTTAGTCTGCAGGTTTGCTGCAGTGGGGGTATTTATTTACAAACTCCTCCCAAAACAAACTATACTTACTTACTTACTACTTGATACTTGTTAATATCCCACTGGAAGCGTTGACTATAAACTATAAAAAAACTGCAATGAAAATGTGTGATGTAATTAGTTCATGTATACAAAATATATTTTATACTGCAGCAGAAGGTAGTTACTGTACTTGTATGTCTCATCTGACGTAGAGGGTTGCTCTAATGAGCCCTAATGTGTCGTACGTGTCTGTGTTACAGCTTAGGCGCATACGAAGACACCCTTTAACCGACTCGCTATTTAATTACATCCATCCTAATTATGTACTCACTCAACGCTGTATGGAGGAGTTTTGATCATAGTTCAGTAAGATTTGTAACGTAAAATCACAATCACAGATAACAGTAAATATTACCATTAACTTTAGAAACTGCACGGGGACTTTTTCAACCCATAATAAAATTAGAAGCTTTTTTTGGCGTCTTTTTTCTCGTTACGCTTAAAAGTTTGGCGACTATGTTCCTCCCACAAGGAACGATAACAGTTACTAAAATTGTACTGTGTGCAGTGTTTTGTTTATAATTATATTAATACCGGGGGCAAATTTAATTTACAATGCTATAGAGTTATATATTTGGTTAAAGGAAATTTAAAAAATAACAATTAACAAGAAATATAATACAACTACTCTCATCTGGACATAAATATACCATACAAATTGTACTAATCCATAAGGATGATGAATCCTAAGGGGGTGTACTTATTCTACGAATACAACATGTGAAATTGTTTAAAATGAGGAAAGCTACATCTGAAAATAAATAACAAAATATAAATTTATAGTTTTAAATATACAATCCTCAAGTTGATTTTGCTGGAAACATTACAATATAACATGCGTATGGATGTAAAGATGTGCTAATAGATTTATTTGAATAAGGTGAAATAAGAATAGAACTTTACAACACATGTAATATTTTGAGTTCGGTACAAATTGAGCATGTTAACAACACAATTTTGCGTACTGAAACATAACTTTTGTTTAAAGTTTATTGTGTTCCTTGCCACAATATGGCGCCTGTCACAAGCAGAGAGAAGAGAGAAGTCACGTTAACAAACCACAGAACGTGCTTTAAACCCTCAAGCGACCTGACTAATGTCAACCTTAAAAACATTTAGATATTTTGAAAAAAACGTACCTCAGAGTTAAAAATCGTAACCAGTTTCGTTCTGATTTCAATAATTTTAAGTACATTAGGGTGATTATATTTAATTGAAAAAAACTGTAGAAGACAATTTGCTCACCGGTTGCAGGAAGATGTATATTCAGACTTAAAGCAGCAAACTTTTAAATCGTAAATAATAAATCATTTTTAAATATTACAGTATAGATTTTTTTACACATTTAATATTGGTTTACATATTATTAACAGTAGAACCTTTGGGAATCCAGTGTTCTGAATTTAAAGACCTGATAATTTACCAAAAAAATACATAAATTACATTCCTATATAGTCGAATATGCTGGTTTGCAGTTCCAGTTCAAATATATTTATTCATTATTTTACATTGATCCTCACAAATTTTTAAAAACTCTTCTGTGAGATCCAATCAATTAAAATGTTACAAACAAAATTTTACATTATTTTATTTTTTCACAAAAAAATATTAATACAAAGAAATTGCCTTATTTTATATTATGCCAATTATTTTACATCATAATTGATGATTGATAACCAACAGCATTTTACTTAGATTAATGTGTTCAATTTTTTTTGTTGTCATGAATTTTTATGGGAAAACGCAGAGATCAGATATGGTTGTTCGTTTGTCTCTCTCTATAGGTCACTCTCGTTTTCTGTGTGTCTCAAAGTCACCCCTTTGACAACAGCAGAAACACTGTTGGTGCCGCCTTTGCTGGGGAAGGGGACGATAATCTCCTTCTGCCAGCCTTCAGTCTGGTGAATTGATGTCAGAGGAACCCCTAACACCTATATTGCACGGGGATGGTGCTCCTGCATAAGAAATATATTGATGCAGAGATTAGAATGGAAACACGGCTTCCAAATATGGAGGAGACATGCCAAACTCGAGGATAACCTTGATTTTGTCTTCCCCTCGCAGCTGATGAGCAATGTGGACATGGGAATAATTGCAGAGACCCAGGCCAATGACAGCAAGGCGTTTGACAGGGCCCTGCCTTCTGAAGAAACGCAGGTGGCCTTCTACCCTGGAAAGTGCTCCAAAAGGGGAAAAAAGTCGATCAGAGCACAAGGCTAAAGTTAAGCTTAATGCTTAAGGCCAAGGCGACTCAGAATGACCGTCTGCTTCACCCAGGTCCATCTCGGACGTTGTTCCTGTTTTATAAAAGGTTTACTAAATCTTCAAAAGAATAAAAATATAAAGGTTCCTCCTACATCACTACAACGGATGTATTTTCAACCTTTTATTTGTGCAAACAAGAGCCAGAGGCCAAAAACACAACTTCTCCCCAGAATGTTTTTTACAATCAGGATCATAAGTTGGAAGAAGGATGGAGACAAATAATAAGGCGTAGTGTAAACATTTATGTAGATGTTAACATTTATATTTACACCAGTGTACAGGTTGGCTGGTGCTTCCAGCGTGCGACAAATAAATAACTAGCACATAACATCAGTAGCGTAACATTGTAGAAAACCTAGCGAAACTAATATCATACAAAACAAACTCATAAGCACCGAACATACTTTACATTCAAAATAAATACAAGATTTCTACAATGTACAATTGTGGGTGAATGTAAACTTACAAATAAAATTACTCGTAAACAACGATAAAGTATTCTATAGCTCTCGTTAACAAATAACATTAATAATATCAGTCTAATAGCAGAGATTGTTTGTGGCTTAGATCTATTTCACGATGGCACAAAATAAGGAAAATGTACAGTGTTTGTAACTATTATACACATTACATAGTATAAATATTGTACTTTCAAATATATTTAGTACTAAAATGGCTGGGATGAAATAAATAGTTCTATGATGTTTTGATGAGGTTGTAAATTAAACAACATTTTTTAAAGAATACGATATGAAGATGAAGTCTCATAAATACAGTAGAAAATTTCTGTACCATTCAATAACTTCAAAGCATGTATGTTACTGACTTATTTTCATTTAAACCCTATGTTATAAGTTAATAAAAATCATAGTGGGGCATATTTAATGATCATTAGCGAAATGCACAAGCCACGTCAGACATACATTTCCATGCAGAATTCGATATAAAAAATAACTAGATAATTAATCTGTTTGAAAACTTTGCACACTCTCAAAACGAAGAAAAGTCTTGCATTACATGTTTTAACTTAAACTGTGTTATTTTTTCTAAATTCTGCACGGAAATGGCTTCTGTAACCGAAGCTGAAATCCCAGATTTTAGTCAAGTATTAAATACGTATTTTGAAAAAGTTGCTGGACTGGAGTAAAAACAACGACAAAATATCTTTTACCGGAATAAGCTTTGCTTAATAGGAATTGATTTTTTAATATATATTTTATATAAAAATCACTTAAGTCTACATAACACTACCTTCTGCTCTAACTGGAGGGAGTGAATTTACCGACATGTTTCATTATGCGACCTTTTACAAAAAGCACAATTTTTTTAACAGTATGAAAGTGAGCTACGCTACAAAACTACGATATAATCTCCCTAAGATAAATTTAGACATAGACCTAAAGTGAAACAAGTTTTTTACTGAAGAGGATACAAGTACCATGCCGTGATTTATCTCAAACGGGACTGAAAATTTAGTCACACAACAAATGACAACTGAGAAAACACATAGGGGGCGTCGTGCGTTTGAATACAACCTGTCTCAATCAAGCATGTCTTCAAATACAGCTTTTCAAATAAAAGTGTTTAATCACAAGGGCCCCTGTAAAGTAAGACGTTTTGAAAAGCATTAGTTAAATGAGCAAAGCTCGAATAGACATTCTGGCCTGCGATGAGCTACATTTTTGTCATAATGCATCACTCTTTAAGCTGGGTATTCAATTTACAAAGAAATGTTGTGCATTGATCACTATAAATAATGCTCCCATAAAGTTTACCATCAAGTTTTGTTATTAAATACGAACAGCAGTTACTGTTATTAAGACACGTTGGGTATGTAATAGACAAATAGAATAAATATAGACTGTCATAGGAAGGTTCTGCGATTTGCTACTAGGAGTGCCATGTAGTTATGGCGCACACCGCAACAGGCAAGGAGCCGTATGCTACCAGCAGACGCTGCAGAGCGGTGTGCGCCATAGCTACATGGCACTCAAAGCGCATGCTGGAACTTATGCTAACCGCAAAACTGCTGTCGGTCTATATTTATTCTATTTGTCTATGGTATTGGTATCACTCTGCCAAATAAAGAATAGAATAGTTTTTAATTTAATTTCGGCCACCTTACCTCAGAATAAGATTCCAAATATTGATATAAAAATTTACAAAAAATAACACTGATATTTCATTCAGGTGTAGAACTTCATCAGAGAGTCGACTGAATATTATTCAATATTTACTAATGTCCTTCATGAATAAGACTAACTAACAAAATTATACTATATTTCTAAAAAAAGACTTTCAAATACAAAAAGGCTAGGAAAAAGTCTGGAAACGCCCGGTTTACTTTTTAGCGCGTTGCTGTAGGAAATCCAAACTTGGCACATATTTACAACATAAGAAATTGCACTTTTTAATCAAGGTGACAACTTTGCCCCAGCTCCCAAAATGGGGTATTTTGGGGGCAGCCCCAAATTTTCAAATGTAAACACCTATCAAGTGACCCCTCATTTTAATGGGTTTATCAAGAGAAATTGAATGACGGAAACCAGAGGTCAATAACGCACCCCTAATCAAAATGGCAACCATTTTAATTATTTAAGATGAGCAATCAAGATATAGTCTGGACACCCTCAGTTAACTTTAAAAATTTAATATTTTAATACTGACCAAAAGGTGAATTCTCTTTTTTTATAAAGTTATGCTGAGTTTAGTTTTCCTGCTATAACCTCTTAAAAAGTTAATAGGGGATATTTCAAAATGACTGCTATTTTGATTAGGGGTGGGATATTGACCTCTAGTTTGCGCCATTTAACTTGTCTTGAGAAACAGTTTAAATTAATGAGTCACATGATAGGTGTTTACATTTAAAAATTTTGGGTTGCCCCCAAAATTTCTAACTTTAATCAAAAAGGGCATTTTTTTATGTTGTAAACATGTGCCGAGTTTGGTTTCAAATTGCCACACGTAAAGTTAACTGGGGGTGTCTAGCCTTTATCTTGCTTGCTCATCTTAAATTAAAATGGCTGCCATTTCGATTAGGGGTGCGATATTGACCTCTGGATTGTGCCATTCAATTTCTCTTGATAAACCCCTTAAAATGAGTGATCACATGATAGGTGTTAACATTTGAAAATTTGGGGCTGCCCCCAAAATACCCCATTTTGGGGGCTAGGGCATTATAACTTTGATGAAAAAGTGCAATTTCTCATGTTGTAAATATGTGCCAAGTTTGGTTTTCCTACTGCAACGCGTTAAAAAGTTTACCGGGGGGTTCTAGACTTTTACCTAACCCTGTAAAATTATTCCAGCGCACAACGCCCCATCGTACATTCACATAGACTAAATGTACAGCATAAGAAATTTAGCATTTCCAAAAATATATAAATGAGATTACATGTCAGGAGTTATTTATTTACAAAATCTTACAACGCAACATGTACAGGATAGAGTATTAGACGATCTATGCATAGCTACAAACATAATATCAAGGGATATAGCAATCATTGCGGGAGGTAGGAACAACTATGTTAAAGCACTGATATGACACGCACGTAGATAAATCTATTCACAGACAACTCGTCAATATTATTTCTCTTGGTATGGTTAAGGTTTCCTCGCGGGAAACTCCTGACTAGAATACAGTGGTTTTGTCGTCAACATTATCCCTTTGACGGTTTCAAAGCATAACAAGTAAAAAAAAAACAAAAAACAATACAGTGATAAGTATTTTTGTGGGTACCTGACAGGTAGTATTTAATACCATCATTAGTCTGCAATCTTTAGCAATAAGCACTTAATTTAAATTTCCACGGTTTTTTCATGCTGTTATTTTTTTTTACATTTCCATTTATTCAAATACTGGCAAAAACCTTATGAAATATTAAATACGTATTTTCAAAGTCTACATTCTTTTGACAGCAACCTCTTTCATCAGAGGAAAAAACATTTCAAATTCTTCTTTTTTAAATGCACAACTTAATGATTCTTGAAGCCTACAAATCTTTGAAACCAACAAAGGGAAAACTCATCTCTTGAGGCTCTCCAACCAGCAGCCTACTTGAGTCAAGCATTAGACTCTTTCAGATTGTCGAAATACTCCATTATCTGCTGATAATCCATTCCGAGATTGAGATCCTCGAGGGCCAAAAGATCTTCCCTCGCTCTGTGCTCCTCGTCCGCCGAGAACATCGGGTTGCCCACAATGGTGGCTCGTTTGACTTCCCCGTTCCCCGAGGTGCTGAGTTCCACAAACGTGTCGTCTCCTTCTTCCATGTTGTGCTGCGGAGCCCTCGTAAGGTGTCGTCCGCCTTTGCTGCGATGGTGGTGGTGATGGTGGTGATGGCGACGGGCTCCGTTCTCAGGCGTTCTCCCTCCTCGGTTGTACTCCCTCGGTTTGTTTATCCTGTGCAGCATGTTCTCGTTCATGTTCATGTTGGGTTCAGTAGTTGAGTTGCGGTGTGGCGGGACAGGCGGTCGGTATTCACCCTCCACAGGTACACCGTGGGGCGGCAGAGGCGGTGGGGTCGGAGACCTGGAACAATTACTAGATGTGAGTTTGATAAAAAAAATAGTTTTACTGCCCTAAATGTTCATGTTTTTAATGTCCGTGTGCGTATTTTATTTCTTGTTAATGTTAACGCCCTTCAAATAAAGGGACAAGATATCAAAGTAGAAAAATGTCGCTTATTTAAATTATGAGAAAAAATTTTGCTGGATGGTTAAGTTATACTACATTACTTTTCTGGAGGTGGGCAAACTCTTTCTGGTTATAATTGACTCTAAATCCTATCCCTTCATTTAGCCACCTAATTAACCAACCTAACCTATTAGTAGGGTAGGATTTAGGGTCAATTGAAAACAAAGGTTTTCCGTACCTCCTGAAATATAGTGTTAAAAACACATATCAACAGGACAAGTCTGACTATTTACCTCAGAATTCAAATAAAGTATCCTTTGTAATAATGATCTTTGCAAACGCAATTTAATTTAGATGCTTGCAAATAAGGAGAAAGTGTTGACTCACAGGTTCCATTGGTTGTCTGCAGGAGGAGGTGTTCTGTGCCTGGGACGGTCCTTGACGTAGGTAGAGGAGTCGACTGTGAGAGGTCGAGGGTAGGGTCCAGGCTGGTCGTGACCAAATGATGGGTTTGTGGTGATTCTCATAGCTTGAGCTGTAGTTGCCGGCACAAGCATACCTTGAAGACAAGAGATAACTTTATAAAACAACCACTATTTACATCATCCTCATGTAATTGTTAAAAAAAAGCATACACCAAATATGCATCTGCTGCACCCCTTTTTGTAGAACTGCTCAAACTTGAAAGTTAGTATGAATGTAGATGCTGTTCACAGTTTTCTTGAGTTTCTCTTCAAATCAATGCCTTAGATGAGAAGTAAATTAAGTATTTTTATATGTAATTTAATTTAACTGACGGAACTTGTATATATTGTTTGTGATGCACTGGGACCCTACCTGAAGCACGTTCCAGAGTGGCACGTCCCAGCCAAACCCAATCATGAGCGTTGGTCGTCGGTTCCTGGTTGTGTGGAGGTCGTCTCGGCAACATCATCCCGTTGGCTACCGGCGTCATCATGCTACTACCAATGCTCTTGCCAGCCATTGACATGGCGATCGGTTCTGGAACAGTTAGTGTGTTTTACAAGTTTGCAAGTCTAAAATCCCCATAACATTTTGTCATAAATCAGAAAAAAAGTGACATGACACTTTTGCACTCATAGGCAACAAAATATTCTTCATTTCAGCCTCTTCTAGTCGTAACCTCCTGTGTTGAGACCTTCCTACTAAACAACGACCTTAAAAGAGAACCACAGGAATGCCGTATTTGATTGGACACTCAGCCATAAGCCAATTATTATTGGTAATTCAATTATTCTAAATTTACTTATAGCTTTTTATTTATTTAATAACCTTTTCTCACCCACAAGTGGTTTGAACAGGTGGACAATAAATAAGCAAGATTTTCAACTAGTGGGGCTCTGGCATATCGGGGTATCCCAAACTTTACTTTTCTTTAATACTTTAATACTTTCTTATAAAATGGCAACCATACAAAGTAGGTATTTTAAGCCAAGTATGAATGGAGATGAGTTTAGTATTAGTGGCGCGTCTTGTAGTCTTGTTAGTGACTTATAGCCCATAAACTAAGGGCCTACAGTTATATACCTACAGTTTATAGTGGAATTCAAACCATATTTTTGCCTTGGTATTAACGAATAGGTCTAATTATCGGGATATAGTACTGCGGATAGTCGTAGTACTCACTAGTGCGGACATTAATCCACACCAGGGAGTATCGCATCCACAGTGATGGGAACAGTATTAAAGATAAATATGACAACAAAACCAACTAGGTGGATTTCTATGTAAAAACCACTATTTACCTGGAGGCAAGTCAGGCGAAGACAGCGTATGTGGTTTGAATTTTGAAGCGTAGACGACGCAAGACACGACAAACACAACAATGGCAAAGCAGAACGCAGCCAGCAGGACGTACATCCCTATCTCTAGAGGTGTCATGTGAGCGGCAGAGTTGCCATGGTGTCGTGAGCCGAGCGAGTGAGGCACGCCTCCTCCCCCTCCGCTGCTGTGATGTTGACGCGCCTGCACTGTCGGCTCATGGTTGTTCTCGTCTTTCAGTGGGATTCCTGAAACATGATGACAAATGAAATGTAATACTCAGGCTAGAGATTGAAACTTACTGATTTAAGATAAATTTGTTGTTCTTGAAAGGATCTGAGATATGTAGAATTAATGTCTGTTGTTTGTAAACTTGGCCGATTCGTAGGAAAAGCAAGCATAAGGACAGTAAATCAGTATGTTCCTGTTGTCTGTTTTGTGAACTCGTTCACTCATATCGAGCGTATCTATGTGTAGGCCCAGCTTTAGTTTTAGCGAATTTCCCAACAGGGAAGAAGCTATTTTATGCAACGCTTGCAGCTTGGCATTGTTTTAATTTAGGGATTTGTTTGTGTTAGTTTTGGTTCATGTTTTAAAAACAAATTCAATAAATTAATGAGAATTTCTGTAGTTGTTAATAATATACACAAAATATGAATGATATTTTTTAGAAAACCTTGCTGGGTTAAGGAAGCCAAGTCTAAAATCTTGTTTAGGCTTTGGGGCAAAAACCTGAATAAGTGTATACAACATGCAAAGGATTCTTAACAATTTATTTGTATTTGTGGTTATAAATAAGTGTTGACTGACCAATTAGGATATCATGAAGGTCGACAGTATCTCTGTGAGCCTTGCGGTCCCGTCCACTGTTGGCTCCTCCGTCATTCTGCACAAAGTCTGGACGATGTTGCATCATGTTGCTGGCAAAGTCTACCTCCACCTGTAAACAAACAGTTTTGCTTTTAATTATTTCATTAAAGTACCTATTTTAATTTTTTTCAATAGTTAAAAATATTTAAAAAATGCAATGATCAAAAATGTGTGTTTGAAAGGTCGCAGCAAGTTTAGAGGAGGAACTTCATTATAGCTAGGTTAAATGTTTTCATTGCTAAGCACTATAGCACTAATTTGTAACTTAATAAAAAAATAGGTTATTGTGTGTATCTGTTACTCAAGAAAGCAAAATCTACTGAACAGAAATCATACACAAAGGTAAATTGTGATCCTACTTTATACAAAGACCAATTCATGTCTTTTACTCATCCCACATTGTGTTTTAATTCATACTTGGGTAAAAATACATCTTAGTAGCATCCGCATCTCAATATAATGAGTTTTGGAAATATTTATTGTTCTTCACGACAAAGAAAACCCACTACTGTACTGTATATATCACAAAATAAACTTTTAATTTTAAGCAAAAGCCATATATACAAGTTGAAAATAACCTGCGCAGTAGCAGACACTAGTGGAGGTGTCCGCTTGGCTGGTCCCACCCGGCACTCGTCAGGTGTCAGGAGCGCCACCCGCAGTAACTCCCCTCTCCCCTCCCCCACAGCGATCACCCGCGGGTGTGAGAAGGCGTTGGGAGCAAACGCCACCACGTCGGGACTGAGGGAGTCTACGACCAGTGAGTAGTCAGAGAGGGAGATGTCCCGTAGTGGAGTGGTCGATCCGTCCGAGAAGTCGACCTCCATGTCTAGCAGGCCCTCCTGTTAGATAAAATGAAAATTTAGGGGAAAAATATTATCATTATAATGAATGATGGTAATAAACATTAATGATTGGCACACAGATGTTAAAGATGAGAGGGTATGTTTAGGTAAATATGAAATATTATAGAATCCAAAGGGTGCAATATCTGATTTTTGTAATGGAATTAATTTTCTACAGTTGATGTTTCAATATTACAATAAACATAACAAGTGAACATAAGTAAACAACACTGCAGAACACAACCATGAGGCATTTCCAATGTAATAAAACGCCCAGACTTTTACAACATGGAATGTGTTGGATTAGTGGGGTTAACTGTATCACAAATAATTTTAAAGTTTGTTTATGAAATATCATTCCATCATAGAAAATATCTGTCACAAATAAATAAATAACTAACATAGATCTTCAACATCATTTGGTTATAGGCCTAGCTGTCCTTATAATTGGGCTTTAAATAAATTGTCTTCGCTAAAGAAACAGCTGATAATATTAGTCAGTAACAAGGCTACACTCCATTCTACCAGCATTGCTGTCTCAAAACTCAATAGTGTTAAAGCTACAGCACCAGAGAGTGATGTGGATACCTGGTACTGAGCTGTCAGTTTTCTGGTGACGGACGTCTCTGCTATGTAGCCGTTGTCTATGGCAGAGTCTGGTGAGATGTTGAGCTGCAGACCTGAGACGATGTTGACTCTCAGCTTGGTCACAGACACCTTGTCACTCCCCACCCTCACCTCTTTGGCTCCTATCACCCGTCCTGTGATGGCCGACAGAACCTACAAGCACACATAACCTATAATGTTGATTGTTGTCTATGACTGAGTCTGGTGAGATGTTGAGCTGCAGACCTGAGACAATGTTGACTCTCAGCTTGGTCACAGACACCTTGTCACTCCCTACTCTCACCTCCTTGGCTCCTATCACCCGTCCTGTGATGGCTGACAGAACCTACAAGCAAACATAACCTATAATGTTGATTATTGTCTATGGCAGAGTCTGGTGAGATGTTGAGCTGCAGACCTGAGACAATGTTGACTCTCAGCTTGGTCACAGACACCTTGTCACTCCCCACCCTCACCTCCTTGGCTCCTATCACCCGTCCTGTGATGGCTGACAGAACCTGCAAGCAAACATAACCTATAATGTTGATTGTTGTCTATGGCAGAGTCTGGTGAGATGTTGAGCTGCAGACCTGAGACAATGTTGACTCTCAGCTTGGTCACAGACACCTTGTCACTCCCCACTCTCACCTCCTTGGCTCCTATCACCCGTCCTGTGATGGCCGACAGAACCTACAAGCAAACATAACCTATGTTAATTGCTGTCTACGACAGAGTCTGGTGAGATGTTGAGCTGCAGACCTGAAACAATGTTGACTCTCAGCTTGGTTACAGACACCTTGTCCACTCCCCACCCTCACCTCCTTGGCTCCTATCACCCGTCCTGTGATGGCTGACAGAACCTACAAGCAAACATAACCTATAATGTTGATTGTTGTCTATGACTGAGTCTGGTGAGATGTTGAGCTGCAGACCTGAGACAATGTTGACTCTCAGCTTGGTCACAGACACCTTGCCACTCCCCACTCTCACCTCCTTGGCTCCTATCACCCGTCCTGTGATGGCCGACAGAACCTACAAGCAAACATAACCTATAATGTTGATTGTTGTCTATGACAGAGTCTGGTGAGATGTTGAGCTGCAGACTTGAGACAATGTTGACTCTCAGCTTGGTCACAGACACCTTGTCACTCCCCACTCTCACCTCCTTGGCTCCTATCACCCGTCCTGTGATGGCTGACAGTACCTACAAGGAAACATAACCTATAATGTTGATTGTTGTCTATGACAGAGTCTGGTGAGATGTTGAGCTGCAGACTTGAGACAATGTTGACTCTCAGCTTGGTCACAGACACCTTGTCACTCCCCACCCTCACCTCCTTGGCTCCTATCACCCGTCCTGTGATGGCTGACAGTACCTACAAGCAAACATAACCTATAATGTTGATTGTTGTCTATGACAGAGTCTGGTGAGATGTTGAGCTGCAGACCTGAGACAATGTTGACTCTCAGCTTGGTCACCCCTTCTGGGGCATTGGGGAAGTTTACTTAAACCTTGAACACCATGATAAATGATGAACACAAATAAGCGATCATTTCGTGACCATGTTATCATCTTTAGGCACTGCCTGTGGAGTAGCTTGATAAAATTATCATCTATATTACTGGTGGTTAAATTAAGGTACAAAATGGAATGATTAGTGTTCCATGTGTTACTTGCAGGTTTTTTACTGTTTGGTCCATTGTATCCAACAAGTTTCGTGGTAGAGCACCATTGTGAACCAACATGCAAAACCAATCACGTGATAAAGTGTTTTATCGTCTAAGATTATTAGTGTTGCGTAATTACCTGTACTTCTGTGCGTCCCACACTTCTCCCCTGCAGTGTACAGCCGTGTAAAGAGGCAATGCGAGGGTCGGACACTCTGAGCAAGCCCAGGACTAGATCTGTCACCCTCAACCATGTCCTCCGAGACACTAGGTAGCTCACTCGGCCAGAGTCGTGGTCTGCTGCTAGGAACCTGGCGTACACCTGCACATCACAAGGACAAAGTTGAGGAGGTTGATGGGATTATTGTAATCCTTTTAGTGGTGGGTGTTCTTCAATATAGAGTTTTTGCCAGTTAGAGGGGATCACAGTCAGATAAACTAGTTTTGAAAAAAAAAAAAAAAAAAAAAAAAAAAAACTAAGGCCTACCTAAAATTGTGACTGCAATCTCTCCTAACTCAGAAAATGAGTTATCAGTGATTTTCATAGTCCAGAGACCCATAAAACCTGTTAAAACCTGTGTAAAACCTGTGTGTGTAGGTTAAGGTTAAGGTAGTTCCCATTCCAACTCATACATCTGTTACTGGGCTTAGGGACTTCAACCAGTGATTTAAGTGTTATATTACTTATTAAGAAGACTCGCCCACTGTAGAGACTAGTCGGTCATCAGTTTTTAAGCCATAAACGTGCTTTAATGTTTTTCTGTCGTCTTGAAGACATTTTGTGTAAAATGTAAATAAAATAATTTAGCCTAGTGTACCCCTACGTACCCGACGATAGAGTAATCTACAAAACGGTTGTAGTGCAATAACATATCTGGATTGTGAAGAAAGTAAGTAGCTAATATCTATGAGATTGAGTTACTAACCTCAACCGGACTCTGCTGATATCGTAATCTACAATGTGACGGACTCAGCTTATCATCGTCCACAGTGTTGTCCACATCTTCTGTCACCATCCCTGACCATCGGCCTTTACCATCTTCTACGCTGCGTTTCTTAATCTTGTTCGTAGTCCTACTGTAAACAATATTTCTTAGACAAAACTACCCACAAAACGACACTTGTTGTAGGATAAAATAATGGGAGAAGGACAGAGTTTTGACTTGACAAACATCATCCAGAATCAAAATCACAACTCAAATTTATCCATTGCAGTAACAATGTAATGTGCTGCTGTGGATGAACTAATATATTTCTACAACATTCATGATTTTTGTGGTGATTTTACATAAATAATTTTATAAGGAGAACCCATAGGAGCTAGGTCACCAGCTTCATTAACTTTCATCACTTTCTACCAAAGTAAAGCATCGTAAACTGCTACAAGCTACTACAAACAGCTGTGTTGGCTAACCTTAGATGTTCATCAGGCACTCTCCAACCCTTGATCTGACTAAGACGGAAGTCGTTGACGCTGACTTCCAGTGGAAACTCTGGCATCCACAGAGTGAAGCGAGCGAGGCCAGTGTAAGTCCCGTACTTGACCAGAACAGACGCGTTCCACGACCCTCGAATCTCCGATCCATCTACGTACACAGAGCTACAAGACGAGGAAACCTGCAACAAACCCAACACTCAAGATACAGTGTACCAGCGTAAAGTGATGCAACCTATAGTGGTCATTTATAAACAAAAATCTATTCAGAGCTTAAGAAAACACATTTTCCTTCACAGACCAGAATCCAAGGCCAGCCATTAAAACCATGTCACTCCTGTGATTAGACCATTTAATTTTATAGGAGCTAAAATAAGAAATAAAATGATAAATAAAATACATTGAACCACTCAAACTTTATATTACAAGATATAAATATTGGCCTACAATAAAATGGTCACCAACTAGTCAATAAATTTTGATAAAGCCAAAAAGAAACATTTTTAACTACACCTAGCTTTTTACTCTTTTAATAACTCAAACAAAAACTTTATGAAACTTTAAATCAGCAAAGCGGTGATAAGTGCTATTATAGCTTTAGTGCTAATTAATGAGAAAACTTCCCCACATTACACCAAGTTAATTACCACCATTAAAAGTTGGAAAGTTCGGAACAGATTTCATCGCTATTTAACTCAGTCAGACAAAAGTTGTCGGGACGTATGGGGATGCAAATATAAGCAGCGAGTGGATCTGAATATTCATTAATGCAGGGTAATGGCTAAAATATGTAAAGGAAACTACCACTGTTACAGCTAGTTTAGTTCCAAGTTGGAGAACAAATAATGCTTTTTATCTTAGCAATTTTACTAATATCAATAGTTAAAAATTAAAAGTTTACGTAACAAATTTAAATATTAGTTGCTTATAATGTAAACTGGTAGATAATACATAATTTTATGCAAATTTGAAAAAAAAATGTCTATGAAAGTAAAAAATAAATAAATAAAATATCATTTGTATGAAAAGTAAATTAAATTAGGAAACATCTTTACTCAGGTGAAATTAGGAAATAATGGTAATTTTATTCAATACCCACAGTTAACCCAACAGTTGTAAATCTATAGGTATGGATCCTAAAAAGAAAAAGTGAAACAGCAGTTAAAATTAAAATTCAACAAAAAATCACAAATTTTCCTTTTTAAAAATTTGACAAATGATAAAATATCATGAATAAAATGTACAATAATTATTTCTATTTTCCATTATTTAAGTTTGAAGTAGGGATGGTCAAGTCTCGAAATTTCGGGAATTTTTAAATCTCGTTACACGAGACGAGATTTCTTTTTGGCCGAGATTTTTATCGAGACAAGAAAAAGAACAAAAAAAAAACGCCTGCAGAAAGTCAATGCAATACCCGCAATACAGGAGCGTGTTGTAGTTGCGTTTCCTTTGCGAAGGCGTTCTTATTTAATTAATTCTTCAAATGTAAATATTACTTTAATTATTTTAATAACATTTGAAGAGTTTTTTGTTAAGTGTTAGCAGTGTGAGGAATGTTTTATTACTATAAAAAAAGTCAAAACAAGTAACTATTTTATAAAAATTAATATTTTATTTTATGATTTATTTTATTTTATGATTTATTTTATTTTAGGATAAGTTGAACTCTATCCTAACTGATATCACTATGTTTCCTAATCGTAGGCATTTTTAATAAGTTAGGTGTGATTAATAAAAAAATGTTATGCTGATGTTTTTTAATAAAAGATTGTAAATATTCTTGCCTATTATAATTATTTTTGTATTTAAACAGTCATCTAACAATGTTACAAAATCAGGTAAAAATTCCGAACATGCATTTCCCGTTGTGTATGAGAAGGGAAATCCCGTCTCGATCTCGTCTCGAAATTTTATGAGAAATAAAAAATCTCGTCTCGTCTCGTCTCGAACTAAAAATCCAATCTCGTCCATCCCTAGTTTGAAGCACCTTTAACAATCCTGCAGTAATGTTTCGTTGCTGTTCTACTTCCGCAATGAGACCAAATTATCAGCATAACAATTAGTGATGTATGTTCTACACAGTTAGAAATAGGCTAATATAACTTTAATTAAAATACAAGAACTTATGTGCGGCGTATAAAGAAAAAACCTTTGGGTTAGGGTACCTTGAGGACACTTTCATCTTCCGAGTGACAAGAGGACTGCAGAGTTACGTCAGCCACTTTGCCAGCCTGACTGACGATGAACACCTTCATAGCCTGGGACACCTGACGTCCCGTCAATACTGCCGTGTTGATCACCTCCCAGTTCTGTCAAAATAACAACAGTGTAATAATACGAGGAGTAAAATTGTTGAGGAAGTGTTGCCGCAAGCACAGAAGGCGATGATGATTTTCTGTAACCGCGAGATATGGTGATGATGATGACTACAAGACCCCGGATATTAAGATTAAAAAGCTGCTTATTTGTATTAGCAAAATTGAAAACAAGTTGGAAGTTATTTTGAAAGGATATCTTTTAAATTAAAATTATTTTTGTTTTCCAACTCAGTTTGTTAAAATATTGCAATATGACAAAAAAAAATAGTTCACCACATGGGAAAAAAAAAGTGTGTTTTCAACCCTCGCTCATTTTCCGAACAAGGCGAGCTCGGGTAATAGAGAGTCACTTTAAGCCCTAGTGATTAAAATAAACTGTAGTGTCTTATACTATCAAAATGGTAAACATTATTTTCTAGTGTTTACCTTTGATATCGGTAGGACCGCCTGTATGTCGTCCTTCTGTATCTCTATCTTGGCAGTGATCTTCTTTCGCTCATCATCCTTGTGTGGCCCGCGGGTGTGATGACCTCGCCTCTCCTGTCCCTCTAGCACGTAGCGGACACTCCATACAATCCTCCCCTCGTCCCACAACTCTGCACTGTCCTCCACCACCTCCAGCAGCCAGCACAGCACCTCCTCCACCCTAGGGACATAGGGAGGGATCAAGTATTGCAAGACAATGACAACCTCTAGCACGTAGCGGACACTCCATACAATCCTCCCCTCGTCCCACAACTCTGCACTGTCCTCCACCACCTCCAGCAGCCAGCACAGCACCTCCTCCACCCTGGGGACATAGGGAGGGATCAAACATTGCAACACAATGACAACCTCTAGCACGTAGTGGACACTCCACACAATCCTCCCCTCGTCCCACAACTCTGCACTGTCCTCCACCACCTCCAGCAGCCAGCACAGCGCCTCCTCCACCCTGGGGACATAGGGAGGGATCAAACATTGCAAGACAATGACAACCTTTAGCACGTAGCGGACACTCCATACAATCCTCCCCTCGTCCCACAACTCTGCACTGTCCTCCACCACCTCCAGCAGCCAGCACAGCACCTCCTCCACCCTGGGGACATAGGGAGGGATCAAACATTGCAAGACAATGACAACCTTTAGCACGTAGCGGACACTCCATACAATCCTCCCCTCGTCCCACAACTCTGCACTGTCCTCCACCACCTCCAGCAGCCAGCACAGCGCCTCCTCCACCCTAGGGACATAGGGAGGGTCAAGCATTGCAAGACAATGACAACCTCTAGCACGTAGCGGACACTCCATACAATCCTCCCGTCGTCTCACAACTCTGCACTGTCCTCCACCACCTCCAGCATCCAGCACAGCACCTCCTCCACCCTAGGGACATAGGGAGGGATCAAGTATTGCAAGACAATGATGGCTTTTACGCAATTACATTCTATGTATGTCGCGTAGATTTGAATGGTAACGGGCAGAAAATAATTATAGACCTAAGCTCGGTAATTTACATTTGAGGTGTGTGAGGGGCTCGACTTTTGATCTCAGAACATCAGTGAAATGATTTGTGCCATAGCGAGAGATATTCATGATTTTGCCGCGATTGCACATGATGATTATGTACCAGTGACCACAGAAGTTGTTTAAGATTTTTTGGCGACCGCCGCAGATGTTCACAACTAGAGGGTCATGGCGTGGTCACAAAGCTAAGATCCATTGGTCATTGGTGGAATTTAAACTGGGAACCTCAGTGATCTTCCACTAGACAAGCTTGCTCTCGATTGTTTGGTGGACTATAATAAATCAATTTACCATACAAAATGTCTACCGTTCACATTTAACCGTCACAGCCAAAAACAGATCAGAGGTATCCTGATTAAGATTGAAATGGAATCTATTCAAATTAAATGATACAAGTTAAAATTCCATAGATAATTTTTTTTTTTTTATTTAATGCAGTTTTTTTATTTAGTAGTATATTACTTTAATAGAAAACTTGTCCACTGTTTTTTAATATATATAAATAAAAAAACATATTTTTTAGCAGTTTTTTGAGCTTAGATAATGTATTTTTCTTCTAAAAATATTAATCAGTCAACAAAACTGTTAAATATTTTACATGTCAACATGCAAGAGTGTCATTCACTGACATTGACAATTTGTTTAAGTAACGCTTGTTAGGTGGATAAAACAAAGAGAAGGAACATGCAGACGAGGACAGATCGCCAGTTAGTGTAAGGTGGTCAGATTAATCTTTCTCTCTCTCTCTCACACACACCTGGGCTGACCGGGACAAATTTATGCGACCAACAATTAGTAGGAAACAGATTACGCTGGTGATACCAACCATGTTAATCTACATTGATAGAATATTTATTGAGGATTAAAGTCATTAACGTTAGATTGAAAAAAGACTAGGTATCAAGATTTAATTAGATAATGTCGAAGAATGAGAAATTAAATATTTATAGAGTAACCAAAATATATAACTTTTATTATTACTATAATTCCAAGTTTCTGTTCAGTCAGAGGTATGCTTGGATTCTGTCTCTTTCCTGATCTAAGACCTCTGTAAATAGTTGTAATGATGACTTAGCCAATACAAATTGTACAATATTTTGTTAATTCTGGCTTAATAAACGATTTGATTTGATTTGATGAAAAAATTCTTTGAACTCTGCCACTATCACCACTTCTAAATTACTATATTATGCTTATGAACATGTTTTTATTTGTTTTATTGCTTAGTGTCCATAGAATATTATCATTACTTTGGTCTCCATAGCTGGACTGCTCACCTAGGTAGAGTTTTCTTGTCCTGTCCGTCGTTGTCCATGGATCGTCGGAAAACCGTGACAGTTGCGACTGTATGTTTCGGGTTGACGTCAAGACTCATGTTCCAGGCGTCTCGGTCACTCACTTCTGCACCCAACACCCGGAGTCCGCTCTTCACCCGAGCTCTGAGGAAAATTAAATTTGACATAAAAAATCTTGGAGATGTTTCTTAAATTCGAAAAAGTTGGATAATGTCTGATTTTTAAACATTAATTAGTTATTGTACGATTATTAGTTATTGTTTGAGCTTAGTGTTATTTGTCTGCCTTCCAGTTTTTGATTACTTAAATTTTAATAAAAACATGGTGAAATAAAATTTTAAACTGAAAGTATCTAACAAACCCTTAATATCTAATTTTATTGTAAAAACACATCTTATTATGTAGAGACTTCCTACTTGCTCGCCTTGCTAATCTTAAAACTAGAGTGTGTGATAGCTATGAACGCAAAATGCATAATCTTTATTCTCTACAAGGCCGATTAGTTAACACATTAAAGTCAATATATGGCATTACTGTACAATTATTGATTTATGACAAAACTCCGCCTAATCAAAATTTTCAATAACCTATACAAGGTTGGTTCTCAAGATGTTGAAATTAGTCTCTGATCCATACACATTTCAGTAAACATTCCTTACCTGAGGATGAACCCGGAGATGGAGAATTCCTGGTTGACCCTCAGGAAGACGGGGACGTGTAGTCTGGAGCGAGGGAAGAGAGCGGCGTGGGGCAACAGCAAGGCGAGGTGGTCGTCACTGCGTAGTTCTCTGTAGCTACCTCTCGCGTGGACCAGAGGTATAGAGGAGAGGGGAGTGACAGGCTGGATCTGCACTCGGGGAATACACTCGGCCAGGTCTGACGTGCGAGGTTCTAGTACTGAGTATGAAACCTGCAACATGTCAACTACGTTATTGTAGTTCAACCCTAGGAATCGATTTATGGTTAAAATATAGTTGTGAAAATTGGTTTTAAATGTCTGCTTCTTTGTAATCTGAATGTTACTTGTGCCGCAACTTTGGGACTTGTAGTGAAGTCATCTTCATCAGAATATGAATGTTTATGTGAGTCGGTGGCTCAGTCGGTAGCGTCGCGGACTTTGGGCCCAAGGCAGCGATGTCGTGGGTTCGGATCCTGGTCACTGCCACTAAAATTTATCAGTACAGTTCACCTTTGTACTGTACCGGCTCACTCCTTGCTTTGCTGTAAATGATCCACGCACGGGCGCTTAGTCTATGTGGACGGGCAAATGCAAGGTTAAAAGAGGCCGCCAACCTCTTTAAAAAAAGAAAAAAAAATCTTGAAACTTCATCTTCTTTGTGTTGAAGGATGTAACTCACTACATTGACATTTTTCTAAGCTTGAAGATCTGTCATGTCCCAACCTGGATAAATTTAACTTCAAATGAAGCACACTCGGGGACAGCCTTATTGAAATATGTGACTTTGTTAAAATATGTTTCTCTGAGGACACAATCAGATTCCATATAAATGGTAATAATTATTTAAATGACACGTTCATACAGATTGGTTGTCTAATTCAGTATAAGTAAAAGATCTGCTCAAATTGCTGCCAAAATTGACTTTTAGTTTTGTAATAATATTCTTGTAACTTAATTCCAAAAAAAGTTCAAATTGTTCCCTTAAAACATAAAAATTCCATTCGCAAAGGAAAACAAATACCAAAGAGTATATTTTTGAAACTGTTTGAGGAAAATCACCTTAACAGTCCGCTGTGGAGTCTTGACGGGTTTGCCAGGTCGGCCGTCCACGTCGGGGAGGGGGAGCGGAGGCCACCAGGAGGGAGGGATGGTTATCTCTGTCAAACAAACTCCGTCCTCGCCGTCAGGGCTGCATGCTGCAGTGAGGGCCGGCCGATCACCCATGGACACATGTACTTGTATACACACCTGAGACACCGCAAATATAGCCTTCAAGTTACATGAAAGATTTTTACAGAGAGTGTTATGTGAGTTGGAAAATAGAGACTTTGGCAAAGACATAGATATAGACATTGGCCTGTGCGATGAAATAATTTTTTTGTCATACTTCATCATTCCTTAAACTAACCGCGGCAACAATAATAACTAACTAACATTGCACAGACGCTTCATTATGAATTATTAGTGCTACAGCTGTTTCGGTAGGCTGGGACTGTGGAGTTTCAATTTTGTCTCATTGCGGCCTAGTAATTCCATTAATTGGGGCTTTATTATTTGGAAAATCAGTGGAAGCATATTTAAGTCAGAAAAATGTAGAGCTGGTGTCCTCGACACAATACGTTTCTTTTTTTCTTAGAGATGAAAAGGAACTACTTTAGCTCTACAGGCCCATATTGAAACTAGCTGTTTTCGCTGCAGCACGGTTAAAATTAGTTGTATTTTATTCACTGATTGTATACTCCTCAACCCTAAACCACCATGTATTTACCTGCTGGTGCCTGGGCAGCCTTGGGTCGGCGCCAGTGTGGAACAGAACCCGGAGCACGGGAGAGTCCCGGGGGATCTCACCCCGGACCACATGGGCACTCATGTCCAAGTGATGTCCTCCGCTCAGCTCCATGTCTAGTGCCAAAGTGGAGGCATTCATCGGCACTGGGTCTGGCACTATGTATCTGTAGCAATACACAACAATGTATGTAACAAACTGGTGCTTTAACATATTAGAATAGGAGAAAAACACCATCGTCACAGCAAATCTTCAGGCTAAGTCAATTTTCATTTGACTGATAGGGTTTCCAATTTTTACTTAAATAATGGCTAAAAAATTACAAATTTAATCGCTAACTAAATAATAAGAGCTTAACACGTTCACTGCTAAAGGAAATTAAAAAATCGAATCGTATTGCTAAAAAACTTTATTGTTATATAACATTCCTTTTTGTGTCCTTATTGAAATACAATATTATACAAAACGATCGAAAGTGAATATGACGTCAAAAAGTGACGTCATACTAATGGGTCAGTACTTGAGACATGATTTAATCTACATTTATCCATCTATCTAAATTATTTTCAGTCTTAACTATTTAGCTCGAATCATTACTTGAGCAAAATACGCGTGCCAATCTTCTTGTGCTAGCAAATCGTAACATTTCTCCAGAGTTACAATTATGGATTCGGACCTGTTTAATCGAAGAAAACAAAACACTCCTACCAGGGTCAATCCGTCTCTGAACTTGAGGAGAATCAAGCATGACATTACCACGATACTCAACGACCCACTTCGAGGAGTCACTGCAGTAGTTGACGAGGACGACATGAACTACCTCCATTGTTTGATCGAAGGCACCAAAAATACCCCTTACGACGGAGGTTTCTTCTACTTTATCATCTTTTTCCCTCCAAACTACCCTTTTGAACCTCCGAAAGTAAAGTTGATGACCACGGGTGGTGGATCAGTCAGATTCAACCCCAACTTCTATGACAGCGGTAAAGTCTGCCTCAGCATCTTAAATACGTGGAGTGGTCCAGAGTGGACTCCCGCTCAGAATATATCAAGTGTTCTTGTCACCATCCAGAGTATCATGAGCGAGAAGCCGTACTACGAGCCCGGGTACGAACGGGGCAAACACCCAAGGGAAGCGGACAAGTACAACGTATACATACAAAATGAAACCTTCAGAGTCGCAGTTGTAGGAATGTTGGACGACTACTCAATCAACCTTCCACAACACCTACGTCAAGTTATGGAGATGGACTTTCTCAACAACTATGAGTTCTATGACAGCACAGTCACACAAAGAAGCTGTCGTAATGGTAAGCGTTTAGAAGATCGCTTAATTCACAACTCAGTAAATATTAACTACAACACAATAAAACGTAGAATGAAGGATATTCGTGAAAGACTTGATGTTAAGTATGCTGTGGGCATTGCTGTGTATAAAAATCCAGAAATTATCGTTGTAGATGATTCTGACTAAGTATTAAAAACGTTGTCGTGAATAAAGGCTAATGAAAATTGAAACTTTTAAAAATACACACTAAAAAAAAAAAATACAAACAAAAATTTTCTTCAACTGAAAAAAAGTAAACAAGATATAAAATAGTTAATATCAGGACAGCTGTTAGAAACAGTAAATTAGCAAAATAACTTTAAACACTGGTCTACTGTAGATCTTCCAATGAGACATCATATTATGTAAAATTGGCTAGTAATAATAAGGCTGAAATAAATCTATTCTATGGTAAAGTCTTGATTATTCAATCTTCTATGTTATCCACACTCTATTGAAATTTTTATTTCTACAAAGTAACGGACACGGTAAGACTGCCTCTTTAATTCTTTATTCTGAAGAAGCCCCTTGTGTTTTTTTAACATCTTAGAACCGTGTCCAAAAACCTCTGCTACGTGTTTAGGACAAAACACATGTTAAATATTTTTTTACCAATGGGGGTGTGGGTGGCCACAGCTAGGTAAAAACTTTGAGTTTGTGACTAAATCTTTTTGAGACGACCTACTGTATGTGTAACTAACAACTAATGTGTAACTAACTAGTGTGTAACATACATCTAGTTATAAGAGAGAATCTACCCATATGGATGCATACCTAGCCGGGACCGTCTGCTTGGTAGAGAAAGGCCCGTAAGTTGCTCTGACAGACATAGGCTGGGAGGTCTGGAACACAGTGAAGCGGTCGACGCTGAGCACAGTGCTGCCCTCTGGTGGAGCCTCCCCTCGGTCCCTCGCCCCAGCCAAGTCCACAGCGGCCGGGTACTGTGTGCGGGCTGCATGCCGCAGGAAAAACCCTCCATCCTTGTTCTCGAAATGCACTTCCACCGTCCCTGCAACGCCTGTAAAGGAAAGATTGATTTATGCATTGTCTGAAATAATTCAGTAAGAATTCCAAAAAGATCTATCTCAGGATAAGATTATGAAATTTGTATCTGTTATTATTTACAGCATGAATCGATAAGATTTTACCTATTAAGACATATTTTCAAAATGATACAAAGTAAAAATTAGTCTGTTGGCTGAGTGATTTACATGATGGTAATCTCAAGTTTGCAGAGCTGAAGTTGTTGCAAACAACAAAGTAAGGTTAGTGCATGTTGCATATGGAAGTTATATTACTACGATGTTGTAACTTTGTCATTAGAATATGTTTTGGGATGTATGTAAACAATTGTTTTGTTTGGAAAACAAAAATTTTTTAAATACATTTTTTTTTAAACAACAGTTGACATTCTGATGAAATCAAATAAGGGTGACTCCAGCTTGGAATATTTTTGTACAGTACCTTCTCAACTTTCTTAAGATTCAGCCCAATATTTCCTTAAAGTTTTAGGAAAAGTATAATATTTGAAACAAACTTGTTAAGAGCAATGTTATATATGCTGTGTTGGTTTAACCTATAGTCGATGGTTTAATTTACTGGTTTCAAATTGCCAGCTGTTGTCAATGTTAATATTGTATGCTTACTAATAATTAAAACACATGTTATTAACTTAAAGGAGAGAATGTAAACAAAAGAGTTGAGTTTATGTTGGCTTATAAAGAAGATGTTAGTAAAATGGTTCAAATAAATTATTGTCACTACTTTCACTGAGTACTCACATTTTTTGTCAGTTTATTCGTAACAAGCAAATTGTCATCAAACAGTTTTTAATTAAGAGCTATGTTTGCTTTTAGTCAACAAACAGTTTCAATGTGTTGTCAATACACTGTGAGTGATTAACCATGTTTATTTAGGAATTAACATTGAAATTACAGCAAAAACAATATTTTCCGTACTTCAGCTGTGTGTTTAAATTCTATAATTAATTTAAAAAAGATATGTTTCAGAACTTAAATATTGGTTTGAATTCTTACAATTAATTGTTAAAGTAATAAAAATCTGATAATTTGCTAGAAATACATTTAGTGTCCCTACTGTAGTTATACAACAAACTATGGAAATTTTTCAGAGACCTTTTGGTTGTGTTCATGAATTTAATAACTTAAGCTAGTTACAACTAATTTGTAACAATAAAAGTTTAATTCAAAATGAACCAAATAATGATGGACACACTAACCAATATATACACAGCACATTATAGCTGATTGTGATCAAAGAAATTATTAAAAATAAAATTATAGAAAAACCTTACAGTAACTAATTGGTACCATAAAATGGTTTTACATTTTAAAGAACATTTGACTGTAAATTCAATTTGTCTAAAATGTCCTAAGTGTTAAGCCGTCTTTAAATAAATCGGAGTTTATGCAATACAAGTTTTAAACAAAAGTTGTCAGTCTACACTCAACTTCCGCGGAGTTTGCATTTGACAATTAGCTGGTTTTTTTTATATGTTTAAGTGTAGTGTGCTTTTGTGTTGTTTGAGCTTGATTATGCACGGTTTCATGTAAAAAAAAAAAAATTAACTTGCCAAAGAGGGAAACTATAATAGTATGTCCTTGTACAGCCTGAAGACAACACCAACTGGGAGTTGAAACTAGTTGCTGTAAGCAATTTTTAAGGATTATCATAAAGCAAGTATTTTTTAAACCAATTTAAGAGTCTGTTTCAGTTTTTTTTGTGACAAAACAATTTTTCCAATGCTTAAAATAAAAATTTTGTATTTAACAAGAAGTTAACATAACCTTTTAAGCCACATTTGCATTGGAGTTTACAATAAAAAATTTCAAACTTTTGTCGGTGAGAAATAATTTTTGTCTTCAACTAACATGTTTTAACACTTGCCGTTTTAAACATTTGGTTGTAATGTCTGGTGTGAACAAGGTTTAACGTAACTTTCCTAACACTGAGCGGGCTTAGATATATGTTGTATATATTCACTTATTCATCTGTTGTTATGAACAATTTTGACCAAAAATATGATGCAGCACATCAATTAAATCCAGAAGTTTAGAACACTGTTCGAAACCAATCACTTCAATCAGTTAAAAGTTTATTGTCTAATTTAAGTTTAATTTAACTTGGCACATAATCAGTTGAGTTTGTCGTCTGCACACCACGATCATGGTAGACAATTTAGTTCTACTACACATGTCACCAGTGTCTTATGTCCCAGCTGATTGTCTTGATTAACTAAGTTGGTAACCCTGCCTAAACATCGGTTAACCGGGATAACTCTGTGAATAGACTTAATTAAGAGCACCTGCTACAAAGAAAACCTTGGATACATAAGCGTAGAGATTTAGTAATTCTAACTCATCATTTTGAAATATATTGAAATAATGATAGCTAAAATCCTTATATATAATTCTGTAAGACAAAATCTTTACCAGAAAATTTTGGACGTCTGGTAAGTCGCAGAAAAGTGGGAGGGGTCTTAAATTAAAGGTCTTGACCCCAGGGACTCGGGAAAAATAGCAGAATTTCCATAAAGTTACCAGAAAACGAGATATAACGTAAAATGTTCTCCATAAGAATAGCATTAGAAGCCATTTTCTGCTAATTTTTGTTTACTTCATACAGCTGATCGTGATTTATCATCAAGCCAGTACGCAATGTTAACATTTGGATTATACTTATTTGCCAGTAAGTTCAGCAATGTACTATATAAAACCAGGGATAACGTTACCTATAATAATTAAGACTTTTTAGTTACGTTATATAGAATGTGGAAATATATTATTTTACTGTGAAACTTTTCAAACTTGTGTTTAACAAGAAATAACCACATTGAATAAATAATTAACGAGCTACCTTAATAAACCAGTATTTATTCACAACCAATTATATGTTTGCTGCCTTTATAGTGTGGCCTTGCTTTAGCAGAGTTAAATCTATGTAGTGATTCGAATGATTTATTGAAAATAACATCAACAAAGACAAACAACAAACTGTTTTTTACACATAAGATATGGCATATATACAGGGATATCTATTCTGACACATAGATAATATATTTCTTTGTTTGTTTAAATATTAGAATAATTTATTTTATATTATTGAGCATTTTAGGGACTTATGTCCCTACAAGCCACTAGTTAATATATAATGTCTAAAATTACTATTGGTCAGGTGTAGGCGTGGATAACCTGATATTTTTTAATGTAGTTTCATTATCTAAAAATATATATTAAATTTGCGACCTTAAGTATACAAATTGTATTTATTTCTTTTAACTTACTAACCTTCTTTCATCCTTCCTTACTGTCATTCTAGTTACACAAATGGTCAGATAATGTATCTCTTGCATAGTACCAATGACTTAACTTTTGGAGACTGAAGTAGATATTATATCTATATCGACCAGTTGTTGCCAATTTTTATTTACAAGAACATAGTTGAATGCGTCACTAGTAGAATTTGCTACAGACTAACTTATATTTCTGCCTTTGATTTTCTTCTTTATCAGCTTAACTTGGTTAAAAAGTCTGCGTACTTGTCAGAGTCACCTCGGTGGCTCAGTGCACCCAAGATGAATGGAGTAAAATTTTACTCCATTCATCTTGCAGTGCACCTACTTCCACTTTTTCATTATTGGTGACACCTTTAACACAGGGATGGAATGTTTAGTTCTTCAATTGGTCGAAGATAGTACGAATACATAACACAACAAATAAAATACTCAATGAAGTAAGTTTATTAGCAAATATATTTTGGGTGGATTCTTGTGCATTGTGGAAAGTAATATAGAAAGTCGCGGGATGGAGATTGCATGTAAGATTAATATAAAACAATTTAGCGAACACAGAATGAGCGCTCATGCACGAATGCCATGACTAGATGACATAGCTCTGATTGAAATTTATATTTTGGTAACGATTCTTGGTCTCTAATCGCCTTCTTTTATATTCTTGATGGAATAGCATTACGTTTCTTAATGGAATAAAGTTTTCGCGTGTGGTCTTTTCATAGGTGGTGGGGGAACTTCCCCTCAAGCCGCCTAAATATTGTGTACAAAGTAAGGTATCACAATAAAGAACTTTATACAAATTTCACAATAAAAGCTGATAAACAATAGAAAAAATACATACGGTCTTATCACAATATCAGAATGCTTGAAACTGTGTAGTTTAGAAATGAATAAAGAAATATCAAAACTCTTAAACATTACAGAAACTAATTGTGTTTAAAAATAAATAATAAACATGAGGTAAAAGTTCTGTTAGGAGGTAGAGATGCTGGGTTGATCACAAAGGTTAATTACACCGGAGAGGGAAGCAGCTTGAGACTTGACAATTAACCTAAATATGTTCCTCCAAGAAACAATTGGCTTTGTACTCCATGGATCGATGTGAGCTCAGCGAGCCTAGCACGTAAACATGTCGCTTGTGTCCTGAATATATGTGAGATCGTCTGTAAATCTTTACCGAAAGTACATACAACTTCCAGCTGCAAACTTCGTAATGTTTCTGATCTTACTTTAGTTAGGGTATTATGAGAGGATTGCAGTTTAAAAAAATCCCTTTATGGTATGAATTGAATGAGAATATTTAATTTAAAACAACCTTTTGGTCAACTTTTTTCATTTTCTGATTTAATTTTAATTTGGAAATTGTTACATAAACTGTTTTAAATCAAACTATTCACCATATAAAAATACTTCACCAGAAAATGAAATAAACATCTTCTTAAAGGGAAAAAAATCATCAACAATTTTTTAAGGGTTACAAATTACAAAATATTTAAAAATCCCGGTTATGTATTGATGTTATATTAATTATGTACAAGACATTCCATCCCCATATTAAAGTTGTAGCCAGTTTTTAAATCAAATTCGTAGTAGTTGATGTGAGCCACCAACGATTGCGCTGATCTAAATTACAAATTTCTGTCAAATACACAAGCTTTTTTTACCAAACTAAACTAATGGAATGAGTTATTGTGAGCTATAGCAAC